GCTACGCTCCATCTCCTTGCTCCCCTTTTCCTCCAAACTCCTTGAATGGCTGGTCTACAACTGACTGAAGGGGATCATGAAGGTTATTCTCAGTGAGGTGGTTGCTCAGTCTGGATTTCATACTCGACACACCACAGAAACTGCTCTCATAAACCTCACAAATGGTCTACTAACGGCTAAAACCTATGGACAGTATGCTGTACTCCTACTCCTGGACCTCTCTGCTGCCTTTGACACAGTTGGCCACCCTCTCCTCTTCAAAACTCCACCCTTTTGGTCTTCGTGACTGTACTCTTTTCTGGTTTTCATCCTACCTATTCTACCACACCTTCAGAATCGCTTACAATTCTACTTCCTCCTTTCTTCTTCCTTTTTTCATTAGGGTACCCCAAGGTTTTGTTCTTGGACCTCTCCTATTCTCGATCTACACCTCCTCCCTGGGTCAGCCTCCTGTTGCTTTCAATACCATTTCTATGCTGATAAGGCCTAAATCCATCTCTACCCCTCAGTCTCAAGCATCACTAATTTACTAACAGACAAATCACTCTGCATGTCATACCACTTCCTCAAACTCAGTCTATCCAAAACTGAGCCCCTTACCCTAACTTCTCTTTCAAGATCAATAGGACAACTATCAATCTGTCCCCGTATGCCAGGGTGCTAGGTGTAATCCTGGATTCTGAACTCTCCTTTCAGCCCCACATCCAATCACTGTCCAAAGCTTGATGAATCAACCTGTGCAACCTCTCTAAAATATGCCCCTCAGTCCCCTCCAGAAATATGCATTTCAGTACATATTTTGCATTCCCATACTCTGCAAGTATACATTTTTTTTCCCACTGTTAAGGCTTGGAAGAATTTACCAGGCCATGGTCTCAAAAAGGTTGAGAACCACTGCTATATACCATTGATGCTCCTTTCTTTTCGAATTTAGTCTAAATAACTGCAACTGTATTATGTGCATGCCTTCTACGTTTAAAAATGTGATGTTTAATTTCAAATGTGTTTCACTGAGGACATTTACTACAATTCAACATATTCTCTCAGATGAATACAGTTATAAATTAGGGCAGCCTAGCTCCAGGCCAGAAATGTAGTAGTGCTAAATGCAGGTCAGTTTTATAATGAAGCAGCTTTTTTATTCTTGTGGTGTCAGACTAATTGTGGAGTTCTTTTTTTTTTATTCTAGAACACTATGTACCACTGTATAGAGCAGTGCCGGAGTCCATAGGCTTCTAGCAACTTGGTGCTCTGCTATATGCAAAGAACATCAATGAGAAAACTTTGTCTGTCAGACTTTGCTGACTATTTTGTTTGCTTTGATTAAAAAAAATACTAATCATCACAATTCTTGGTGTCTGGAAATTAAAGCATCTGTGTATACACACACACTTACTTGAATTTATGTAAACTTTTTTTTTTTTTTTTTTATAATGTTCACCCCAACTGAAATAGCATTGAATTTAGTTTATCTAAATATAATTTTGTTTGTAGTATATTAAAAGCTAGGCATACATGGATCGAAACATGGCTGGTCCCTGCTGAACAGGTCAGATTTCAATACAGGTATGGTCAGGCTGATTAGTAGATTGACTTCTATACAACCAGCCTGATGGACTTTCCCTGCTCGATCAGCATTGCTGGCTATAGTCATCAGTGCAGCCCAATGGTGGAGAAGTCCCTGTGCTGTCAGAATACAATAGGTCAGTCGTGAGTATTCCTTATCCACATGGAGTGTGGATAATTCAACCCATTCAACCCCATTCAACCCACTGACTGAACAGAAAAAAAAAAAAAAAAAAAACGACCAGTCTGTGTGCTGCTTAAAAGGAGAAGTAGAGCCAAAGCTCTTTTGGCCTTACTTCTCCTGGGGATCACAAGAGTGCATTTAGTTCTGCACTCCTGTGACCCAGATTCCTTTTCAATCCCAAACTTCTCTTAACTCTTACCAATGACAAAACACCAACATTAACCCTCTAAATTATCCAGGATTTTTACAGGTAAATGAAGTGGCAATAAAATGCCACAGCTACTAACTTTTATAAAAACATTTACCCCCAGTTTACACTAGAACGCAGTGTGGGAAACCTGAGATCTGTGAGCATTTCAAGCACCACAGACAATTCACACTACCCTTGTGATCTGCAGCAGGTGTCAGTGCAATGTTAATGTCAGACAAGCGGTGGCAGCCTACTTATTTTTCTCAGAACAGGTTTCTTTAAGACTGTTTCATACTGCAATAGCAGTAGTGGGTATACATACAGCCACATCCACCTTGCAGCTGTCAGTCCTGATCGATTCTGTACTGCATGTGTATATATATGGTGGTTCATAGATTGTCTACACATGAAGAGCCTAGCAGCACAATCTCTTCCCTTCCCAGGGGCTCAGACACAGCCATTTTTTTTGTACATCTCATGCTAGGTCCTCTTTGAGCAAAAATTAACTGATCAGTCATGCATTTGGGTTGTTAAATGAGCTTCAAATACAAGACCAACAGTTTATTACTGAATTACAAGCATGGCTTTTATTGTTTAAAAACTGTGGCTTTGCCAGATTGCATATTATCAGAAGTAGGTAGCAGGAGGTTAAGTTTAACAAAACGTACTTGCGATATTGGCAATAGACATTTCTGTATTTATTGCATAAAAAAAAAAAATCATGGGATTATCTTTTATACAGAAAACAAATACCTATGGTGTAAGTCAGATTTTCTAGATACACATTACTCCAACACCATTCCCAGCTCTTCACAACTTTCCCTTGCTCGGGCATTAGAAGGGGGTCTAAATTTTTTGCCAGATTGTTATATTAGTCACAAAGAATGCAGCAGAAAAAAATGGAAGGATGTAGATAGTGAGTTCCACTGGACAGAGTTATAGCCAGGGGAAACCCTGAGAAATATTACAAGCTAATGGGGTTGATTTACTAAAACTGGACAGTGCAAAATCTGGTACAGCTGTGCATGGTAGCTAACCAGTCTCTAACTTTTGCTTGGTCAATTAAAATTTGAAGTGGATAGGTTTCTATGCAGAGCTACATCAGATTTTGCACACTCCAGTTTTAGTAAATCAACCCCAATGTGTGTTTCAGCCTATCCCCACCACAAATCTTCCTGTACCTGGTGGACTTTAAAGGACAAAAGACAATTCACAAACGACATTCTACCCCAGCAGCAAAAATGTCCATAGGATTAAAATGGACTCTGCTTGTCCTGCCCATGGATGGCATAGTGTTCCTTGCTTCCAGCTCTTCTTTAAAAGTTACGTGCAAGATAGGCCTGCCCATAGCAATTTTACTCTATCTTAAGAATATGTGCTGAGCTACAGGTGGAGATAGCTAAAGAACCTCTGACAGGGCCAAAAGGAAAGGAACAGTGCTGGCCCCAAGAAATTCAAGTAGAGTTAAATTCACTTTACAACATGTTTCTGGCAGAGGGACTTAGCTTGTGGGTTTAAATATGCTTTTATTTTTACACATCTGAGACAGCCCTCTGATTTCTAACAGGTAAATGCAATACATATACTGCTTAAAGCCAAATCAACACTAAACACCCCATCCCCACTACAACATAAGCCATAGCAGTCACAGGTTATGCTTTTGGCTACAGTTACATGCATGCAACTATGCATTATTAGGTCTTTCATATACAGTGGATTTAGTTTAAGATGCATTTTCTTAATGAATGACAGCTAGCAATAAAGGAAAAAATAAAGAAATAAGTAGACTAATACTGTGCATGTAGACATATATACATGTAGTACATGAACAAAAAAATATTGAGATTGTCACTCATAAAAATGGTATTAACACTGATGATACAGCATTTACAGACAAACTAAGTTACCTGAGAATGTGATTGTGGAAAAAAAAAAAAAAAAAAAAAAAAAAAAAGTTTCATTTTAGTTGCATAACCTCACTAAAATGTTAATCTCTAGTTCCAGGACAGAAATACTGGATTACTTTCAGAGAAATGGTTTGGCAAGAAGCCAATGCTGTTTTAAAAAGGGAAAGCGAACCTTTCAGACTGGCTGTTATATTCCCATATAATGCTTTAAGCAATGAGGCGGTGCCAATTCCAGGACAGGTTTAGACTGTGTGCGATGCTACCGAGGGTTACTCTATCCTTGAACTGGCACCACATCCTGGAGACAGGCAAAGAGTCTTCAGCCCTGGACAGGAAGCTGGTGCAGACACCAGTTATGACAGGTTCCCTTTAGAGGAAATGTCCCCCAAATGGCGCTGGTGCTAAAATTAAAAGTGGTCTGATAATCTCACGTATCTCAGTATTCCGTTTCCACTACTTAAAAAAAAAAAAAAAAAAAAAAAAAAAAAAAGACAATTTGTACCACATTTACAGATATTTGTTGAATTTTGACCGAAGCCTGTATGAATGGTTTTGCCCCAAATACACCCTGAGAAGGGAGAGAATCAATCATTTAGGTTCACTGCTGACATGAAAACCCAGACCCATCAAGTATTGGACACTTTTATTTTACTATTAAAAAGTGTGTGTTGGCTCAAACACTAAGCAAAGTAGAAAACCTCTTTAAATCTGGGTCCCATCAGCCTGTGTATCACCCACACCATTGGAGGCTTCCCACAGGTATCTACAGGTTGTATGCGTGGGCTACACAATGGCAGTTACAAGCTGAAAAGACCCTCCAGTGCTTTATACAGGAAATATAGTTTAACAAGATCACAGACATAAGCGAGATCACCACAACACACTCTTACTATTCTCCACTGAATAACATTTGGTGTAGTTATCCTTTCATAAAACAGGGATAGCAGAACTATCACTCGTTAAAAACTGCCCCTCTAAAATAGAAAAAAAAAAAGAAAAAGAAAGAAAGACAGACATTTTATTTAGAAAAATGACATGGCATTAGTCTCTGGACAGTTCGAGATCAATGCAAGCCATTTTTAAACCCACAATTACACTTAGGTGTAGGATTCTGCAGGAGCAATTAGGGATCGTTCAACACAAATGGACATAATCAGTCATCATCTCTCCCATAGTTAATAGTCTGTAACTCCTGAGCTATGCTCTGTGCCAGTTCCATGGTACCAGCCGCCACTACTCTGCAAGACATGAGGTCCAAAGGTCCACCTGCAGAAAAAAATAAAATAAAAAAATAACACGTGACTTAAGAGCAATAATGTGGCAATATGGTAGAAGTCAGGCAAAATATTTCCTCATCACATTAGGAACAAATGCTGCACAAGATTTATTCCTGTAGTCTTTGAGGAACTGTATGTCCAAACAATATCCTGAACCACTGAGGTTTTGTTGCAATACTTCAATAAGCAGACTTAACTGCCTACTATAAAACAAACTGCTTGTACACTAGATAATATTCCAGAGGTTTCAGTCAGGGATAGCATTTGTAAAGCTGCTCACTCTTTCCCAAGTCACTTATGTTAGTGCCAAGGTACAAGAGAAAAAAAAAAAAAAGAAACATGCAGTATATCTCTGCAATACATGCACACTTTCTTGTTTTATCCCTTTCATGACCCTGCAAGTACAGAAAAATACCCACTAATCTGCTAGAAATGCACTCAGCAAATGCATGTCTCATATATAAAGAAATGCAAGCGAGCGCATAATACATAAGATCTTATGAGAAATAATTATACCAGGTAGCCGCTAGCACTGAAGGGTATAGGTAACAATCCCTATCAACGTATTCATAAATCAAATAAAGTGCAGCGCATTCACATGTAACGTATTGCCTCGATCAATAGAAAGTGCACAGTATGTATAAAGTGCTATTAGTGCAATCTGTGCAAAGTGCAAACAATAAATCTCCATATGTTATCAATCAGTATAATATATATAATAATTCAAGTGAATGGGCGTACCCCTGAGGACGTGCTGTCGCACAAAACGCATTGGAAGGAGCCACATTGCTGACGTCACACCATCGTCTCCTGGACAAGGAGCAGTGGCCATTTTGGGTACTGATTTTTTATTTCTCCACGTGGAATATTGTTACACGTTTACTTATCTTGGAATAGTAAAATGCTACACTATATATGAGAATCCTTTGGCTCCTGTGGTTGAGCAATCTTCCCCAGATTTAAGGAGACACGCACCACCAGTACTGTGAGGATGCTGGATTAACCCCTAAACTGCCCTACTACCTCTGCACCAGATGTGACAGATTATAACCAATGCCTGTATACAGAGTTCTGGTGAGTGCGCACCCCATAAGAAATGGTGGATGATATTTTAAAGACACATGCAACATTGCACTTTTGGCACAGGAGTATACTGTTTGAAGGAAGATTCCTGTTGAATTCGCATTTCTATACGCTTTTAAGAGCATACTATTATTATAGACATTTTTTCCACTTATTGCACAATAGCACTTTATTTCCTGATTGTGTATGCAATATGAATATTCACTTGAATTATTATATATAGTTTGCTGATTGAGAACATATGGATATTTATTGATTGCACTTGCACGGATAGCACTTTATACAGTATGTATAAAGTGCTATCCGTGCAAAGTGCAATCAATAAATCTCCATATGTTCTCAATCAGCAAATTATAATAATTGAAGTGAATATTCATATTGCATACACAATCAGGAAATAAAGTGCTATTGTGCACTATTGACAGAGGCAATACGTTACTTGTGAAAGCGCTGCACTTTATTTGATTTATAAATGCAGGTCTCAGTTCTGCCCAGCTGTCAATTACTAAACTACTGAATCTCTCCTCCCTAGTCATCTCCACAACATATGAACATATTGATCTGTAGTCCAAGATAAGATTCACACGGGCTAGCTAATCAGACTTATTAAGATAACATGGGACGTGAGCACAGGAGAGCTCTGGTTTTTAAAAGACAAACATTATTTTTGCACTTACTGACAGAAAATAGAACTCTTGCAATGTTATATTTAAAGTAGAATTCCTGCTTTCATCTAAGTAGCCATAAAAACTGTACTCTGCCATCTAACACCTATGTTAACTAACCTGTGTAAAAAAAGATGTACAGTATATACTTACCCCATTTTCAGGCCACTGCAGTCCAATCACATAATCCAGCTTCTGTGTCAGCATGGCTTCAAGGGAGAGGAGGGAGAGCCAAAAACGGACAGGTCATTGAAGCTCATGGGTGATGTCACTACTCCAGACTTTACTAGTCGCTGTCAATGCACTCGCTCTTCTCCCTTGCAGCCACCATTGGCTGACACAGTGGAAAGCACATGACTGGACTGCAGTGTCCTGAAAATAGGTAAGAATATACATCTTTCTTACCTAGGTTAGTAAGCATAGATATTACTGGGGGCAGTTAGATGTAAGCAAGAATTCCTCTTAACAGATCAAAGCAGAGCAATAGTTCAGCATTAGGGTTTACATATTCTTTATTTTACTTCCCCTGCCAAACCCAATCACCTTAGACCAATTCTCAGGAAAAGAAAGTAATGGCTCCTTTAGACTTGCAGTTGAGGAGCATTAAAAACACAAGGTTAAGCCATGTTCTTAGCAGCCCCCAACCGGGTATTTACATGCAGAGGTCACAATGCTTTGCTTCATGTTCATAAAAAACTATTGATTGCTCCTGTAGCAGTAAGCCTGCTGAATGTGACCCATTGAAGTGGGAAAGTAGCACAAATGGCCCACAATCCCATGCATGTTGGTGCAGTGATTACAGGGTTAAAAACAGCCAGTGAGGTATCACATGACCTCCTCACCACCTATCAAATGCCGCTGAAAAATGATCCAAAAGTGGATAACTTTTCAGAAGCGTGTCAGCTTAGACGCAAGTGTAAATTTAGCCTAAGGAGCCCATGCAACTTTTGGCATCCCCTACATCCATGATGAGCGTCTTGGGGAGGACACTCTGATCAAGCCCCAGTGGGAGGGGCGAAATGCGTGAGCAGGCATGGCCGGCATGACAGCTGAGGCCATCCCCCATACACAGGCGGTGAAAGCGGTGTTCTCTTTCTTCCATTCCTAATCACAAATCCCCTACATCCATGTTACAAGTTGTCTATTGGTCAAGCAGATAACCTATTTGCGATGTGCATAGCACAGTCTAGTAGTTAAGGGGGAGAAGTACAGTACATTCATATTAAAAAGGCAGAGAAGCAGGGTTTTGTACACTTTTGCATGCAACAATTACCTATTTTTAGTCTGCTCCAGGGATCACGTGATCCGGTACTCTGGTTCTTCTGTGTCAGTGACTGCAGGGTACAGGAGGGAACACAGACCATGACTGAGGAATGGGAGCCAATGAGTGATGTCATGGCTCACAGAATTTCCAGCCATTGTCAAGCACTCTCTCCTCTCCCCTGCAGCTGCTGCTCAGTGATGCAGACGATTCCATGACCTGACTGGAACAGACTAAAAATAGGCAAGAATACACATTGGTCTGTTGGTTTTACACAGGTTAGGCAGGATAGGTAACAGGAGGAGGGAGGACTAGGTTTTAACATAGTTGGTGTTAGGCTGGAATTCTCCCTTGTCTCTGTGACATTGATCAGGGTACATTTAGTGAATCATTCTCCCTAGCAATAAAAGCTGAACATACTCTGCCCAAAAAAACATAAGAAATACATAAGCCTCAGGTTCTATATTTTCCATAAGCCCTATTATGTCAGCACTGGAACACATGACACTTCGATGGAGATTTTAGGGGCACTTTCACACTGGTTTGCATCAAAACTGCATGAAAAACACCTATGCTTTAATGGTGTGTTTTTGGTGCGTTGCGTTATAATTAGCGCAGCGCATGGTGTGTTCTGAATGCGTTTTTGAAGCATTTGCATTAGGTTTAAACTCCTTTAATGAAGTCATTTTTCAATGGGGAGGTGAGGTTTTTTTTTTTTTTTTTTTTTTTTTTTAACTGACCAAATAAAAAAAGGATTTTTTATAAAGCATCAGAAGCTCAGCGGACCAGCGTGAAGACATACACAGGGAAGCACTTTTTATGAGCTTTTCTTGCATTTATTTAAAAACACAAAAGCACTTCAAAAAGGGCCCTTAATAAAATGTGAGCACTCAGAATCTGGTGCAGCAGTACATAATAGCCAATCAGCTTCTAACATCAGCTTGTTCATTTAAGCTTGAACAATAAAATTTGGAAGCCGACTGGTTTCTGTGCACAGCTACACCAGATTTTGCTGATTTTTCTAGTTTTAGTAAAATCTCCCTTTGTATACGTTCAAAAATAGTTATTTTTTTTAAAAAGAACTTGAAACTAGGTTAAAATTACCTACTTGTCAAAAAAGTAGTCATCGAAATAATTTCAATGCTTTCTGTTGCTAGAAAAAAGTTCAATCCATAATGTTTTACATAAAAGAGTGATAGCACCAGTGGAATTACTGATATTTTTAGCAGTCTATTCCAACTACCTGAGCTCCATGGCATGCCCAAATGCCCAGGTGAGTCAATGCACAAGTGAAGGCATCAAAACAAGCCAATGGCTGCAGCTGGCATTTCCGCTTCCCATCCTGTTCTCCTACCCCTCGTTGGAGCCAGGGAGCACAACAAACAGCATCAAAAAGGAGAGCAGGAGAACACTGAAAAAAACTGGATTTCTGATGTCCACTTGAAAAATGCAAACACTAGAGCACTCTATGATCAAAATTCCAACTACAAAGCTAGTTAAGCAGCGGATCAGGCACAGTCTGTACTTGATCGGCAGAAGCAGAAAGCATGAGAGATATTAATGTCTTAGAAACCCCTGATGTCTTCATAAAGAATACCTGTCACATGCCCAATGCTATTCCATATGTTAGCCCCTTCCGACCGCAAACAAGTTAAGTGAAAAAAAAATAACTAATGAGCTGTAAAGGCTTTTAAACCACTTCAAGTCCGGACACTTTTACCCCCTTCCGATCCAGGCCAATTTTCAGCTTTCAGCACTATCACACTTTGGATGACAATTGCACAGTCATGCAACACTGTACCCATATGAATTGTTTAATATTTTTTTGAGACAGATAAAGCTTTATTTTGGTGGTATTTATTCACCACTGGGGTTTTTCTTTTTTTTGCTATATAAATGAAAAAGTCCAAAAATTTGAAAAAGTGTTTTTTCTTATAATATTTTGCAAATAAATAATCATTCTTCATAAATCTTAGACAAAATTTATTCAGTTATCCTTTTAGTAAAAAAAAAAACCAAACAAACCTAAAATTAGTTTATAACCAAAAATTATAATTTGTTTACATTTGTATTTTACTTTTTTATATTATTGTTTTGTTTTTGTTTTTTTTTTTAACATACTGTCACCCTAGCAGGTGACACTGTACTACTCATGGGGGTTATGAAGATTTTTTTTTTTTTTTACACTGATTGCTTTTACACTCATAAAGGCTGTAAAAGCAATAATTTCTCCTTCTCTCTGGCTGCATTCTTGCAGCCACTGAGAAATACTGTGTGAGCTGTGATTGGTCACAGCTTGTCACATGGTACAAGGCTGTTGTGAATAGCCTTGTACCATGTGACTTCTGTGATCATTCACAGATTTCAAACGTAATAAGCAATGATGTCAGAAGTGACATCTTGCTTACTACTCTTCATGTGATCACTGATTGGCCAATCAGTGATCACATGATTGGGACCTCGCACAGGAGGTCCGTACAACAATCGGTGTTCCATTGTGTCTGGAGGACACAGCGGGCACCGGATTGCGGTGCTGCGTGCTCCCAGGGAGAGCGCACATGCAGGGGGCGGAGAGGGCGTTTATAAACGGCCACTCGCCCCTGTACTGCCACCGTCCGGCTGTTTATATACATCAGCCGGACTGGAAGTGGTTAAAGTATCACCTGTTGATAATTTTGGGTACCATAATTTTTGCAGTTTCGCTGGCACACAAGAATTTTGAGGCTGGGCATATTTGGTATAGATTTACTTGAAAAACAACCTCATCAAAAAGGGGGTTCTATTGTGTTTGGGTGCCCCAAGATACAATTTATTTTTATTCTACAGTGCCACTGCTTTAAAATAGAAAAAAAATAATATACCTGTTTTGGTTGTTTTACATCTTTTCTAGACAAAAATACAGATTTTTACATAGAAGAAAAAAAAAAAAAAAAAAGCTGAAGTTCCAAAAAATAAATATTTTAACCAGGCCAAATATTGGAAAGAAAATTTCCACCTTTCATGGTCAACACTTACCAGAGGTATCTATCACAACTCCTCCAGCTTCCCTTATTATTACAGTAGCTGCTGCCAAGTCCCAGCAATGCAGTCCAAACTGATAGTAGCCATCAGCAGCCCCTGATGCTACATGACACAGGGCCAGGGTGGCACTTCCAATGATTCGGATCCTATTGACATAAAGCAGTATTAGACAAATACTTTTGAGAGCAGCAGTATAAAATTATGTTTTTACAGGTTATCAGCATCTTGGCATCTAAATGCAGTTAACCACATAGGGCAGAGGTCCTACACAATGAGATCAAGAAATACCTTCTATAAATCTCCTTGTGGTCTCTCAGAGATGGACACATTTTCAATCTACAGGTAATGGGAGCACATATTTATTAAAAAGGTGAAAATATTTTAAAATGTAATGTAAAACATTATAAACTATATTGCCAAAAGTATTGGGACACCTGCCTTTACACGCACATGAACTTCAATGGCATCCCAGTCCTAGTACGTAGGGTTCAATATTGAGTTGGCCCACCCTTTGCAGCTAACCAGCTTCAACTCTTCTGGGAAGGCTGTCCACAAGGTTTAGGAGTGTGTTGATGGGAATGTTTGACCATTCTTCCAGAAGCTCATTTATGAGGTCAGGCACTGATGTCCAATGAGAAGGTTGGCTCACAATCTCTGCTCTAATTCATCCCAAAGGTGTTCCATCAGGTTGAGGCCAGGCCAGTCAAGTTCCTTCACCCCAAACTCACTCATCCATGTCTTTATGGACCTTGCTTTGTGCACTGGTGAGCAGTCATGTTGGAACAGGAAGGGGCCATCCCCAAACTGTTCCAACAAAGCGGGTAGCATGAAATTGTCCAAAATGTCTTGGTATGCTGACGCCTTAAGAGTTCCCTTCACTGGAACTAAAGGGCCAAGCCCAACCTCTGAAAAACAACCACACACCATATTTCCCTCTCCACCAAACTTTACACTTGGCACAATGCAGTCAGGAAGTACCGTTCTCCTGGCAACCGACAAACCCAGACACATCCATCAGATTGCCAGACAGAGAAGCATGACTCGTCACTCCAGAGAACACATCTCCACTGCTCTAGATTCCAGTGGCGGCGTACTTTATACCACTCCATCCGATGCTTTGCATTGCACTTGGTGATGTAAGGCTTGGATGCAGCTGCTCGGCCATGGAAACCCATTCCATGAAGCTCTCTACGCACGGTTATGCTAATGTGAAGGCTGTACGAAGTATGGAGGTCGTTAGCCATTGACTCTGCAGACAGTTGGCAACTTCAGTGCTCCATGCGCTTCAGCATGCCCCAACTCCTGTCATTTTATGTGGCCTACCACTTCGTGGCTGAGTTACTGTTCCCAGTTGCTTTCACTTTGTTATAATACCACTAACAGTTGACTGTGAATATTTAGTAGCAAGGAAATTCCACGGATGTAATTACTGCATGGGTGGCAACCTATCACAGTACCACACTTGAATTCACTGAGCTCCTGAGAGCGACCCATTCTTTCACAAATGTTTGTAGAAGCAGTCTGCATGCTTAGGTGCTTGATTTTATAAACCTGTGGCCTTGGAGATGATTGGAACACCTGAATATAATTTGGAGGGATGCCCCAATACTTTTGGCAAAATAGTGTAGGTATTTATATAGCACTGACAATTTACATTCATCTTTACTTACTGTACATTCCCATTAGTCCCTAAGGAGCTTTGCAATCTAAGGTCCCTACCTCACATGCATACATACACATAATAGGACTAATTTAGACAGGAGCCAATTAACCTACTAGCAAATCTTTGAAGTGTGGGAGGGAACCAGAGAACCCAGAGGAAATTCATGCAAGCACAGGAAGATCATGCAAACTCCATGCAGGTAGTGTCCTGGTTGAGACTAAGGACCCTATGCTGCAAAGCACAATTTCTAACTTCTATCATCAACATTAGTATGAAGCAGCACCAACATTACTATGCTCATCAAATGTAGTGATATTGTCAATACATCATCTATTAATACTCTCTGGTGTCTGTGTTCCCGTTGCAGATTTTCACTCACTTCCTGTCTGGCAATATCACAGCAGAATAGGAAGAAAATACATATCCTGGCATTTGCTGACCTTTCCTTCTGCAGATTTCTATATAAAATACTTTGGGTCAGTTACGGGAACAAGCATGAAGTTTAGATGTTCATTTGCTGCCTACTTCTTTACCTGTTTACAGCCTGTGACTCGGAATGTACTGTATTGAAGTTAGAGAATCAACATTTCTGCAGGGTAAACAGTACTTTGAAAAGATGGTAAGCAAAGATGGTCTCAATTACAAATGTATGCATTTCCTCACCCATGAGCTTGAAACTTCAGAAATTTCTCCATGTTTCCCAAGAACAGTTTTAATGTAGCTGGATCCCGTTTAGGCCCAATTTCAGTTAAAATAAAAGCATTCCGGATACCTGTAACATTAAGACATCTGACAATGACAGAAATCAAATATTACATCTTTAAAAGTTTATAATCAAAAACATATTAAAACTAAAAGCTCAGCTCCAGGCAATGGTAAAAGGTCCCCTTGCAGTAGGGCAGCACTGCAAGGGTTAAATAGTGTATCTAGGTTATTGGAAAAAGCAGTTTTGCTTTTTCAGGAAATCTTCTCCAGCATGCTCCTCCCAGGATGTAAGACCAGTTCCAACATCCTCTTACCCCTTGTGCACTGGTGGCTGCAGGTCCTTGGACGTCATCAAGTCCAATGCAGAACTTATAGCCCTGCAGCTCAACATGAGGCCTCAGAAAGATTCAGAAGGTATTCTCATTGGCAAGCGCAGTCACGTGTCAATGCTGACCAATGACTGCTAGCCATATGGTGTGGCAAGCATGGCACTTACAGCAGAGAAGTGCAGCAGGGACCAGGGGAGTGGGGAAAGTGTTGTGAGTTAGTGCACCCTTCCATTTTTTTTTTATGAAAAGGTGAAATTATACTCTTCCAAATCCAATAAAAACACAAAAGAAAGCAGTCTGTATTAAGCAATTAATGGCATAGGAATGAAAAGACACTAACCTGTTTCTTTTGTCACATGAAGTCGCTCTTGATTACAAAACGCCCCTTGCCCTTTTCTTCCAGTGTACATTTTTCCCTCAGTGCAATGGTATATTACTCCAAACTCAAGCTATAAAGAAAAGACAAAAATAGCTATGCATGAAATAGCCTTATGACAGAACCAAGGTCAATGAAAATAAACATTGCTACTGGAATTATACAAAGGCTTGGGTGAACACCCACAAGAGCCCAAGGGGTCAGCATTACTTTAGATGCTTATCCTATTCATTATCCAAACACCAACTGGATTAGAAGGACTTGGTTTTATGAATAGAGGGAGAAAAAAAAAAAAAAAAAAAAACCTATAAAAAGTGCAAACAAGCTTCTTGTTTCTTTGACTTGTGCTAAACAAAGAAGATCACAGCAGTTTAATGGGTGTCTGTGTATAAAATCCCATTTCAACGTTATGAAAAATTACATAAAAAAAAAAAATTTATATTGTTGTTTAGTCTCTATGAAAGTTATAGAGTCTACAAAGCTATGAAAATAAATCACACACACACACACACACACACACACACATTATATAAAAAAATTGCTCAATCCTGATGTACTGACTGACTCATTTCTTGAAGCCTTTAAAATGCCAGAACGTTAAAAAAACAAAAAAAACCAAACACACCACCACAAATTACCCCCCCCCCTTTTTTTTTTTAAAGTAGACAATCCAGGGAATTTAGTAAGAGGCATGCAAGTCTTTTGAAATGGTAATTTTTTGTCACAATTGAAATATGAAGAAATTAAATTTTTTTTTCCCCCTCACATCTTTTGTACATCCTAATGCAGTAGAGCGACATCATGTGCGCCAGGGATACATACTATTTAACAAAAAACACAACCTTTTTGTTGTATCTTTTGTTTTTCTACATACGGTCATCAGAATAGCTGTGTCACCATAGTGTACATACACTAGCTGCATTTAAAAAACATATTTAATGATTTATGACTATAGAGCTGCATTATTTGTGTCATATCTCTCCTTAGAGTTCAGCTTTAACCACTTGAAGACCGGCATGTTAAACTTCTGTGTAGGCCACTTTTCAGCACTGTGATACTTTGACAACTACTCAGGTATGCAACATTGTACCCAAATGAACTTTATATCGAGACAGGAGCTTTCTTTTGATGGTATTTAATCCCTACTGGGCTTTCTTTTTTTGCTTTTATATAAAAGCAAAATGGACTGACAATTTTGAAGGAAAAAAAAAAAAAAGTTTCCCTTAGTTTCTGTTATAAGCTTTTGCAAATAATCTTTCTTCATAAATCTAGGTCAATACGTATACTGCTATATTTCTTTGCTAAAAAAAATAAAAAAAAAACACAATTATGGAGTCTACAAACTATGGTAAGGACTCCTTTTTGGATAGCATAAAAGGTATTCAGTAAGAAGCAAGGTTAGTTTCTTTTTGTCATTTTTTGGCTTCAATGTTTTGAAAAATGAAATAAAATATGATTATTTCACAAAGTTGTCCTTTTAAGTCATTATTCATGCACACCATGGGCATATTTACAATTACATCCAAAAACACATTCTGCAAGTAAGGAGGTACCACTCGTGGAAGACTTTTTAGCAGCAGAAATGCATAGAGGGGCCCAAAGTCAGAGAAGCACTTTTAAGTTATCAGGGGGCTTACATTTTGTATCTGATTTCTTGACTACTGTACCCATCACATATATGGAGGCCCTGAAGTGCCGAGACAAGAAAACCCCCCAGATGATGACCACATTTTGCAAAGTAAACCCCCGAACATATTATATTAGAGGCATTGTGAGTCTTTTGAAGATCATATTTATACAGCTATTTTTAGATCATTACAGGATTTCTCACATGAAACATTCGCATTCTTAGAACTACACCCCAAAACACATTCTGCTATTCCTCCCAAGTAGGCGGATACTACTTACCACTTGATTGTACACAATGATCACATGTTACAGGGCCAAATTCTGATCTGTGATCTGCTTCAGACATGGCAATCACAGGGTGTGTGCATGAGTGGCAAGAGCGGGAGACATTACATACGTATGTATAGATACCCACCCGCTTCCAGGAAGGTGCCATGTGTTGTGGTAAACCTTCCATTTGTAGGAATAAGAAAAAGTCTTCTCATTCACATGAATAAGTTATTCTGCCTAATTGAAGGTTCCACTAAGACCATCAGAAACCCTTGGCTCAAGGATCAGAAAAAGAAGGCAAACTAAAACATGGGGTAAGACTTACAAACTTTTTTTCTTTTCTGTCTGGCAATAAAATTATTATTGTATACTACCTATTTATTAGTTTTTAGTCAAAATATAGCCAAAAGTAATGATCCTGCAGCATGTCTGCTCCACCTCAACGTGCTATTAAAAAAGGATTTTGTTAATCTTTAGTAATTCATCTTCTAAATTCTGTTTTTTTTTTCTAAATCGTCTGAAGACTGCTGTGGAAATATTTTTTGTACTTGATATCCCAGATCACCACAACCTCCAAGGTGGGCAGAAATCAGGAACTTTACCCACTGGATTCCATTAGCTTGTATTTTGTCAAAGTAAAGTAGATGTGTGGCACACACAAATAGTACGTTTGGAGGGAGCTCAGACTAGTGCATATTGAAGAGATTGCCCTTCGAGATCTCACACTTCTGACCTGTGTAAAAATCACAGCAGCAGGTCCCAATGCTCCTGGTAAGTAAACAAACGTTTCTCATGCAAAGCTCAAGGCAGTTTGATAAAGAGTGACATGTGGCGACTGCCCTGGATTTTGCTTTCTTGCATTGCTGGTTTGTATTCTGTGCATCATACACAAAATGGTGAATTTGTGAATAGAAAAGGGAGAAAACAGAGAAACTTCTCTGCAAGAATTCTACTGACATAAAACATACTTTAGCTGGCCATAGATTGCGTGAAATTCAGCTGGCTCAGTAGGGACCAGACAAATTTAGATCCATCTATGGTCGTTCCCATTCATGATAAGTCAATTTAAAGATCGATATCTCATGAATGAGCTTGTTGGAAATGTTTGCTTCAATTAGCTGAAGCACTAATCAGTATATTTTGATGGTGGGAAATACAATGACACAGCAGGAAGGATTGCCACATCCACCTCTAATGTGTGGATGGGGAAATAGTTTCCATTTTTTTTTTAACCAGCTGGCTGGTTAAAACTAAAACAAAACAAAACAAAAAACAAAAAAAAAAACTGAGCCATATATGGTCAGCTTTGGACATTTGCCCGTACAAAATAACCCATTAGCTGGATCTGTGTTGGCGATTGGGTTCCCTTAAAGATATATAAAAACAACACAACCTCTTACCCTTCCCCCATGAGATACCATTAGGAATCTCAGGTTACAAACTTACAGAACACGTTTTATACCTCTCGATTGACAGAAAATCCAATGCTGACCGCCACTGGAGGAAACCTATAGAAACAAGCATGATCATATCAGTCTGTGAATCTTGGAATGCAAATAATAGAATGCAGGAAACTGAACAAGAATAGAATTGTAAATGGGCAAATCACATAAATAAAATAAATCAAGCATTTAAAAAAAACACACAAAGCATTATGTGATGCAAAAGAAAAATTCAAAGTATAGTACCCTAACCTAAACAAAAACTCTACCTTACTACATGTTATTTGGTACTGCAAAGGGAAACTATAGCTTTTCTATGTTGATGCCAAAACAAATATATAAAAGTATTGTTTTGTGTTTTTCAAGCAGGTAAATATGAAACATTGATACTACTCACATGCATATACAATGTTTACCACCTGCTTCAAGCAGAAGTTTAACCCCTTCTCTACCACGGTACAGTTATATTCTGGATACTGCAGTTTTGCCATTTCATGGACGCACGCAAGTTTCTAAGGCTTGAAATGTTTGGCATCTAGTTACTCAATTCCATCGGTTAAATTTTGCCAACAATTGTATTATATTGTGCTTGTGTGCACTAAAATTCATTTTAGTGTATAGTTTCCTAAAAATATATAATATACAATTGCACAAATATCCTGTGACAAAAAAAAATAAATAAAAATAAATAACTGCCACCATTTTATTCTTCAGGGTTTTGCTTTCAGAAAATACTGTATATAAAATGGTTTTGGGTGTTTAAAGTAATTTTATAGCACAAAAAAAAAAAAAAAAAAAAAAAAAAAAAAAAAAAGAAGTGTGGCACTGTGGTTAAAGCTGGCCATTCATTTGAATGGGCTGCTGTGCCTGCGTTTCCCACAGGAAAAAGGTTACTGCACCATTATAAAAAGGCAGCAGCCAGGAAATCGCATGAAGCATTTACACCATGAGATTTCTGCACTCACAAACGCACTGAATTTTTAGATGCGTAGGGGTGCCATTCAAAATGAATGGCAGCCCTACGCAATTTCAAACAGCGGTGTGTTTTGACTGTGGGTTGTGGCGAGTATTGCTGCGACCACCCGCATAGATGTGAACCAGGCCTTAGACAGAAGCCAACTGACTAAGCTTTCTGCACCATTTCTGTCAGAAGTGGAGTATGCCAAAATTACCAGAGCAGGTCTATCAGAGCCAGTTTACAGTGCTCCACATAAATTAGTACACCCCTTTTGAAAAGTAAGATTTTACTCAACATTTCAATGAACAATTTCCAAACGTTTGACAAACCTGAGTTTTATAGAACATTTGTATAGCTCATTACATGAAAGTAAGGTTAATATTATAACTTACATTACAAAATCTTCAGTTTTACTCAAAATTAGTTGATGAAAAAGGAAGACACCCCACAACAAAAACTACTACATCTAGTATTTTGTATGACCTCCATGATTTGCAAGGACAGCACCAAGTCATCTAGGCATGGAATGAACAATTTGGCGATATATTGCAACATCTCTCTTTTTCCATTCTTCAAGAACAACTTCTTTTAGAGCCTGGATGCTGGAGAGTGATGCTCAACTTGTCTTCAGAATTCCCCATTGGTGTTCGACTGGGTTCAGATCAGGAGATATACTTGGCCACTAAATAACTTTCACCCTGTTCTTCAGAAATGCAACAGTGGTCTTGGATGTGCGTTTTGCATCATTGTTATCTTTCCATATAGAGCAGTACATCTGTTTATTCATTTTAGCATCAATTAAATGCAGCTCCCAGCTATCAGCAGCACTCATGCAGCCCCACAGAAGGATACAGCTACCACCATGGTTCACTGTAGGCCCCATGCATTTTTCTTTGTACTGCTCACCTTTGCGACGCCATATAGTTCTTAAGCCATCAGTTCCAAAAAAAATTTGTCTTGGTCTCATCACAGAATACAAAGAGTCCCAGTAGTCTTTTTCAGCATGGGCCCTGGCAAATTCAAGGCAGGCTTTTCTGTGCATGGGCTTTAGGAGAGGCTTCCTTTGTGGACAAGACCCATGCATGCCATTCCTCTGCAGTGTACGCCATATTGTGTCACAGGAAACAATCACCCCAGTTTGGCTTTATACTTCTTTAGCTAACTGCAATGAACTTGGTGGTAGCTGTAGATTGCATGGCGATTTTCTTCCACCCTATTCACCAGATGATGCTCCTGTCGAGGTGTTAACATCCATGGACGGCCTGAATGTGTCTGTGAAATGGTTGCTGTTCCACCGTTACATTTTTGTATCAGTTGTGATACAGTATTCTGACTGATAAGTAAAGCTTTGCTGATCTTCTTGTGTTCTTCACCTTTCTTGTGTAAAGAAATTGTTTCCTATCTCAGGCCTTGTGAATTTTCTCTACCATGTGGTGCCATTGCTGACAGAATGAAATGGGAAGGGATTTCTTTGTTAAGTTTTATAATAAACTGTCTGCTGGACACCGGTCTAATGAATAATTAGACTCACCGATAGTTGAGTTCTTATTAATTAGGATTTTGTCTAAAATTTAGCTTTGCTCCTAAGACTCATTGGGGTGTATTCATTTTTGCAACATGGTCTTGAATGAATTTGTTAGGAAAAATACTTCTTTGTATGTGCAAATTAACAAAATTGTGTTTGTCTTCAATGGCTCACATTTGTGGGAGTATTTTGTAGTATAGTATCCCATTGAAAATGTTGGATTCTGAAAGGAAAGTAAAAGGTTTTCTGACAAATCTGTTAGGGGGTACTCATTTATGCTGAACACTGTATATTTCAGAGTGAAACAAACTAGTGCAGGTTGGCACCAGATTAACAGAGGGAATGTGGCAGTTTTCCATATAGAAAATGGTCAGATCCTTGCCAGGTGTGATCTGTTGTGTGGCATGTGAGCTGTCTCCTGCCCCTACAGTGATTACAGTACACAAGCAGAACATGCAGGGTTAACAGCCCTCCTCCTTGTTCTCATCTGAGCAGGAGTGCGAGGATCAGCAGAGAGATCAGAGTATGCAGCTCCAGCTCTCATGTTCACTGTGTTCTGTACATGTCACAACCACAGTTTAGAGAACTGAATGCTCCCAGTTAAAGGACTTGCGCCCCTCTTGCTAATTAGAAGCAACAGCTGCTCCATATATTAAGGTTGTGCTTGCACAACTCTTTGTAATGCCTCCAGTAGTTTATTACAAAGCCCATTAGGCTCTAGAAACAGGCTGCCATGGAAGCAATAAATATCTATTAGAAAACTAAACGACTTTATACAAAAATAATGGGAAAAACCCCCCATCAGATTATAAATTTGTGTACATTAAACAAATTAAAAACATATGTATCTCAGCACTCCTAATGTTGTGCTAATAGGTTTGTTTCAGAACTGTCATATTCATGTTTAAACTATAGTGAAAATATAAAACACTGACATATAAACAGAAAATGTAGATACATTCACAGTAAACCTGTGAGAAAGTTTGGGGCTGCTGCTGTTGACTTGCTTCTGAAAATGCTAGTTGCCTTACTTATATTTGACCATCTTGTCTTGAAAAAACATTCAGACTCACCAACCATAACAAGTATGCCAATACGAAAAGTCTAAGATGAATCAGAAGTGCCTATCTGCATAATGTTCCAGGTCAGTGACTCAAAGTATTGAAGCAAGGAGTGTCCGCAATGACAGCTCAGTAACAAGCATTTTGAAGAGACAGGTTGAACAGCAGTGACAGACTACATGTTTATTTTATGGTAGGTTTCTGTTGAGTGGGCATTTCACATGCCACCTTACAGAAACATTAACCACTTGTCTACCAAGGTAGGTTTATAAACCTCCTGGTAGTCAAGGGGTTAAAAAAAAGGCTCACAATTGCACCAGCCCTGAGCTGGTACCATTTTATTCAGCCAGCTCCCAGGTATTCAATAAAAGTAATCTAATCACTTATACAGGACAGGGAAGTTTTAGAATCTGCTCTAAGATCAATGAACTCAGCAGCACTCAGCTCAGTCTTGAGCTTGATTGGCTGGAGTGGAAGGAAGGGGAAACATTGGGGGTCAAAGAGAAACTTTTATAGGGGATTTTTAACCTCATTGAAATGTCATTTAAAAAAAAAAAAAAAAAAAAAAAAAAAAAAGCAACCCGGTCAGCCCATGCACACTCAAAAAGATTACATGTATGTAAACCGCGATTGCGCAGCACATATTATGTATTCCTACATACATCAGAGACAGTTTAATTTCATTCAATTTCAAATGTACATTGATGACCTGTAAAGGCCTTTAAAAGTAGGGGTTTCTTTTTTCCCCCCCAGTTATACTTGTGTCGGTCCGATGCTGCATCTGTCCCCCACTGGCTCTAAGTGTGAGAACTCAGTGATCACATGACCGCTGATCGCAGAGTTCTCACATGCGCTTGAAGCAGAGCTGTCTGCTCTGCTCTGACTCCCCCCCGTGCTCATTGGAGCACTGGGCTGTGGAGGGAAAGGGAGCGGCTGGCTCAGGATCTCAGCGGATCACTAAGAGGCTGAGCCAGGTGCCACTCCAGACTATGGAGTGGAAACCGACTTTAAAGTCTGGATCTTTCCCCAGCCTGTACCGGCAGAGTGACGTCAGCCCACTGTCAGCTGAAAACGGGTCACAGGAGTGTAGAATGAACTGCACTCCTGTGATCCACAGGAGAAGTACAGCCAAAAACGTGCGTTGCTTATGTACTGGGTACTGCACATTGCCATTTCACAGATGTGTGCAATTTTAAGGCTTAATATATTTTGCACCCATTTGCTTGGTGTAACCCCATCTTTTATATTTTGCCAAAGAAATGGATATTACGTTGTATTTGTGTGCACTAAATTCCAGTTGCAAGAGTGCAAGTTTAAAAAAAAAAAAACAGCAACTTGCACCATTTCATTTCACAGGACCTCTGCTTACAGAAAATATTTAAATTGTTAATAGTTAATGAAAAAATACCTGTGTACATACTGGTGTGGTATTGTATCATATGCTGCTACACAAAGACTCATACTCCTATATGTAATATGTCTTTTCACACCTTGTAGAGCCTGTTACATGTGCAGTATATATATGAGACTGCTACTTGTATGCTCTGATGCCAAAATGTCCCTCTATGTCATTTTGAGATCCTTTAAAGTCAAAACAGATATTGCTACTCTGCATCAACCTTGTATGTGTGTGTCAAGTAGGGACCCCCCCCCCCCCCCAAAAAAAAAAAAATAAGAATGGTTTAAAATACAAAAATTACCTGTGTACAAAATTGCAGGTTCCATCAATTGGGTCAATAATCCACGTTGGACTGTTTGTTAGGATGCATTTGGAACCTGCTGAGGTAGATTCTTCACCAATAAACCTGGATGTTGAAAAAACACACAATGGGAGAATAATAACTTTTAAAGGTTTAGAAAAAAAAAAAAAGAGAAAAAAAAGAAAGGGGGGGGGGGGGGGAGTATAAAACACACAGACGATTTTGCAGATATCCATTTTATTATTGGGAAAATAATAAATAGCATATTCTTACCACCGGAATATAGCCCAACATGTGCTTATTTAATGGTTATCCTGGCTACAGGTTGTTACATACTATTTTACCCATGAACAGGGGTATTTTATCAATCCTATCTGTTTTTTTTTAAAAACTGTACACTAGATTTTTTTAAGACACTAGTAAGTGAAATGAAAATGGAAGTAAAAAAGGTTAAGCTGGTTAAATCCCTTGCTTTTTATTTTTTGCCACCATCTGAGTGGAGAATTCACTTCCTGTCCCATAACCAGCACAATTAAAAAGGAAATCCCTCCAAAGTAAGGGGACCCTGGTTGTCACCAGAAGCACTGCTCCCATTTACCCTCTATTGCTGTTCTGGGGACAACCCAAGATTGAGGATTTTCTTTTACTTAAACAAGACAAATAGAGAGCGTGAATCTACCTAAACAGGGCACAGACAGCAATAAAAACCTGAGAGGTATTCTAATCCCCATCACGCTATCCAAAAAAATGTTTTGCTTTTAGTTATACTTTAAGTCTCTATAGATTGTATTCCCTCTTCAATGCTGTACTGTTCAGCAACACCGCTTACCTGTGAGTGGGATACTTCTCCCTCAGAGCAGAGATAAGCAGTTCCTCCACAAGATGGTCCGTCTCTGTCACAAGATCAACCACAGAAGTTTTTGTAGAGACCCTCTTTTCTTCTGTAAGAGCCTTTTTGACCACCTAACAGAAAAATAATCTACAGTAAGTAATCGATAGTGATTCCAGATAGGAGACCAGACACCCATATGAGGCATAAAAAATATATTGTTCAAGTCTGGAAAGAAACACGTTTTCCCACTTCAATCTTTGATACAAGATGAAAGAAAAAGCATATCAGTTTTCATAAATAAATTGTTTTGTGGATGACCAGACTCCTTCTTGGGATGTATTGTGTAAGCTTTGGTAGTCAGCTCGGGACGCTACAGTAGAATTAAAGTGCAACTAAACTCTGAAAAATATTCACCTCCACCTTCCAGCGATGTGATGGTTACATCCCTTGCTGCTGCTGTCATCTTCTCCCTGGGCTATGTCCAGGGATCAGGTTTTCGTCTTCTTGATTGGCCAGCAGTGATGATGTCATCCTGTGCATCAGCTTGGGAATCAGGCATTCCGGCACAGCCGAAGTGTGGCAGGACTTCACGCTGAGCTGTGCATGTACAACTGTGTACATTCATTGAAGTAATTTTTTTTAAATTAAAATAAAATATTTTATACTCACCTGCTCTGAGCGGCCCCGATCTTCCTCTTCTTGGGTACCCTGGTGGCAATATTGGCGCCTCCTCTCCTTCATGTGTCCCCAGATCAAGCCACTTGCTATGGGAGCACAAAGTATCTGCTTGCTACCTTGCTGTGTGTCTATGGAGCGCAGCTTCGACACACAGTGGGACTTAACCCTGCCCACCCACTTCCATTGACACACACAGCAGGACTTATCCCCACCACCCTCTACCTCCTCACTACATTCAATAGACAGCTGCAGTCATGGGTGCTCTGCCCCCCTAGTCACTCATTCACAGTCCTCTGTAAATTAGGAAACTACAAATCCTGACAGCCTTAGTGGCTATCAGCTTGTAGTTCTCAATGAACTACCACGGCGCTGTGTACATCCCGTATGGGCAAGCAAATGTACTGACAGGTCTGCAGGAGACCTGCATAGCACCAGTGATCTACTGATAACTGATGCAATGCTCTACAGGCTCCCAAAACAAAAAAAATAATAAAATGTATAATTTTTTACCTGCAAAATTGTGCATTTGTTATTTTTTGTCAAAAAGTGAACTTATTCTTTAAAAATTTCTTTGCATCGTCTGCTTAATAACAGGAAGTAAAATTGGGGCAGCTTTGTACGCTTCTCCTTTTGAACCAAGATATTAGCAGCATGTCAGTGAAGCATTAGTACTCAAGGTCGGATTTCCATCATGCTGTGAAGTGTGTATACCATATCACCAGGTCCCTAGCCATTTACTTGTGCCGACATAATAGGCAGCTTTAAGCAAGCCTTCAAATCAGATCAGGTTACTGCTGGAACAAGGAAAAAAACCAAACCACCTTCCTTTTTTTCTCTGTTGTACCAAGAATGCATTCTTAAAAAGGGGAAACACTTTTAATTTTGGTTTAATAAATGATATAGAACACTTTAGGTGCTAGCAATAAAGTTATATGCATCAATCAGCAATTCAAGGGTATAATCCTCTCTAGCTACTCAGTAGTTAGGGGTTACGTCCTGAAGTATGGGCTATGTACCTTCCTTTTAGTCTTCCTTCTGCATCACCAGTCACATAGCGGGCAAGTCTGAATCTGACTGAAACTAGGAAACTTCCCAGACTTGGCATTTTGTATATCAGTCTGAAGGCAAGATGCAGCAAGGAACCAGTATTGTGGGTTCCAGCATCACTAATGGAGTTAGGTTAAGGATGACAAGAGATTTTGATGATCTACTGTAACATCAAAAACATATAGGTCGGGATAAAAAAAAAAAAAGCAAACGAAAAAAAGTCATCGGAGAATGAAGGTTTCAAAGAATCCAGTAGCCAGGAGCAAAGGGGACACAAGAAATGAACAGTAGGAAATGTCCCTTGTGCTGATTTTTTGTCCTTTGTATTACTTTACTTTAAATTACTTTGTATTTCTTGATGTACATAAAGAGCTAATGTTCATGCTTTGAGGGACGATGGGGAGCTCCGAGCGGGGACCATTGAGCAACACAGCCCAAAGCAAGTGGTGAAAATGAGCTCTAAAGTTACTACAAGACAAGGCTATACACATCCCAGCAGAGCCACATGCTACAATCCGGGATTAGCTGAATACAATCCCAGCCAAGAAACGACACGCGTGAAAGAAATGCAGGGACAGGGCATAGTTTAGTACTGAGCTTTGAAGACTAAACGGACTATTCAATAGAAATATTTTATTTGAAAGAACACTTTCAATTTTCTAATGGTTAATGTGGTCAAAACAACATTTCTTTTTGACCACAGTGATGAGAAAGTTCAAAAAGGAGCAGGATGGAAAATTTTTTCCGAACAAATTCCCAACTGAAAATGTAGTTTTCATTCAAGAAAGTCTGGTCAGTACAAAATCAGGTTTTTAAGTACTGCCTAAAAATACATAAATTAGAATTGGCCTATCCAGGGGTAAGCAACCTGCGGCTCTCTAGCTGTTGTGGAACTACATTTCCCATGAGACATGGTAAAATTGACAGTTACAGCTATGACTTGCAGAGGCATGATGGAACTTGTAGTCCTGCAACAGCTGGAGAGCCGCAGGTTGCCTACCTCTGGCCTATCCTATCATTTCTGTTGTTCTCTGGGCACCATCTCTCAATCACATATCAATAGAATGCCTCCCATCTATACAAGGTTGAGGCCAAGGAATTGGATTTTTGCATGTACCGCAAAGATTATAAACTTCAATACGTAAAAATAAATAAATCTTATACAATTTTCTTCTTTAACCTCCCTAGCGGTCTGATTATGTCCATATTGCTGTGCTCAAAGCGGTACATTTTTTTTGCATGGAAATATGTATTTTTTTTTTTTGTAGGCTGTAATTTTTAGGAATAACTCACTGAAATCTGTCCGAACAAGAGTCCAGTAAACATCCCAGGTAGGATAAAACTTGAAACACGAAATCATAAATTATAATTTAATAAATAATCATAAAAAATATTATAATAAATTTAATTCAATAATATAATCAAACCAAAAATACTGAAATTTTAAATATAGCGCCAAGTTCGCACATCACTGAGCAAAGTCGCAAAATCGTTTTCAGTGTCTGATGACGAATTTCCCCACGAATCATTATCACTCAATTCTGCAAGTGGTTCTAATTTACCATCGCTGTTCTAAAACAGATTTTGACCTAAAAAAGGATGCTTTTTGGACGCCATGGACGTTTTTCAGTTTCCAGGCAGAAAGAACAGTAAAAATGCAGGCAGGGCACAGGACAAAGCACTAGGGACAAAATGTATGTGAAATGGTGGTTTGATACAGTAATGTTTTACTACGTGATTTTAGTGAATGTCACTTTTTCTCATTTTCAAATTTCCCGCAGTTCCGTCCCCATACGTCCCGACGTCACAGGGAACGGAACCCAGTTGACAGATGCCGGCATCAGAAGACATTGCCGGGGACACTGCAGGAGGGACATTGCGGGAGCGCAGGACAAGGTAAGTGATCGAGGGATTGCGGAGCAGTGCCGCATGGTAAGCCCGAGTATAGCTAGGGGTTACCGCTTGTGGTACTGAAACTTTACCCTGAGCTACACTCGGGAATACCACCAGGGAGGTTAAAAAAGGTATAATAAAGATTGTATTGATTTTATATATTGATGTATGTAATCGCTTTGTGGCACAAATGCAACAGTCCCATTCCTAGGTCACCACCTGGTATAGGTGGGAGGTATGCTATGATTATGTTCTGAAGTAATATACACCACTAGTCATGATTTTGAATATATTAATGAGAATTTCAATATGAATGTTTGAAACTCTACTTGTGTGTGACCAGCCTAAGCAAAGCTAAGCTGACACATCAGTACAAAGTCTTTATCCAGCTACCCCCCACATGCATTCAGTGTACCGATTTAATCATGCGAAGCTAACATACACTTGCCGATTTATTTTGCTCCCTTTGTGCACATAATTTGGAATGCATTCTGTCTTTTGTTGGTTGAATAATCTAAGCAACAAAAGGAAATTGCAAGTATCTGTCCACTGCAGAACCGGAAACAAACCACCTCTCAGGAAACACCTCACATCATCATGTGACATGCCGGGTGGGATGAAAGTTCCCACATTGTTACAGCCTAACACCTATATGTGAACCTTCACCACCACCACATAACTTGGAGCTTAAAGGACTGTACAAACAAAAGCCATTTGCTCACTTCCTAAAGTATTTATTTTAACTGATGGCATCCACTTATGTTACTTACTATGTATGCTTGTATTTGAAACTCATCAAACTCAAAGGTTGCAACAATGCTACAGTTAAAGACAAAATACAAAATGGACCGCTGTCATGTTTCTACGGTGATCATTCTATATTGCACTGATACACGTCAGCTGAATTTTGAAACAGATTAGTGGTGCACCAAAATGAAAATTCTGGTGCCGAAACCGAAAATTCAAAATGCACATGGCTGAAAACCTAAATGCACAGATTTTTAAAAATGAATTTATATTTTTTGGAAAAACATACACTTTGACTAAAAAAAAAAAAAACAATATATACCCCAATTTTTTTGTAAAATATGAAAGAGTAGGTTATGGCGAGTAAATACATACCAAACATGTCACGCTTTAAAGTTACGCACGCTCTTTGAATGGCGTGAAACTGCGGTACTTAAAAATCTCCATGGGTGATGCTTTAACAATTTCTACAGGTTAGCAGTGTAAAGTTACAGAGGTGGTCTAGTGCTAGGATTATTGCTCTTGCTCTGACATTTGTGGCGATACATGTGTGGTTTGAACACAGTTTACATATGTGGGCATGGCCTATGTATGCATTCACCACTACATGCGAGCACAGGGGGACTGGGGCACTTAACTTTTTTTATATTTATTTTTTTTTTGCACGGCCCCTAAAAAAATGTTTTAATTACTTTTATTCTTATCACAAGAAATGCATGTATCCCTTGTGATAGAAATAATTAGTGACAGGTCCTCTTTATGGAAA